TTTTCTTAGTGCTTTAAAATATTTCACTTTTTTCTGGCTTCCATGGTTACTGAAGATGAATCTCCAGTCCCCTCCTACAGACTCCTATCCATCCTTCTAAACCCATATGGGATGGGTCAGCTCTTGGTGACAGTGGCTTCACTGTGGGAGTCTGCTCTGAGGCCTCTGGTCAGTCCCCAGCCTGCATGAGCAGTCATGACTGGATGGATCCCCAGGTGCAGCAGGGTGCCAACCCCAAAACTGGCCTGCAAGGGACACAGGTAACAAGGCCAGAGAGTTCCCCTACGCCATCTACCAGGGGGCAGTGTCACAGAACAGACAGTGCGGGTTGGGGAGAACCGACAGCGGTGTTTAGGTACAAAATCTTCTTCGTGGGTACATCCCTATCCACCTCTTCCTTGTCTCTGATGAGAATAAGGGACACACCATTCTGATCATTTCTCTTCTCACAACATTTCCGGGCTGCAGTTCACTTGGTGTCGAATCTGAGACTTGTTTTTCAGACTCTCTTCTCTGGTCTCTCGGCTGTGCCCTTCTGGTTGGTCGTAGAAGTGGCTGAGGGAGGTTGGGACAGGGAATCGGAGTGGGCTCTGGTCTCCTGCTCCCAACTTCACGGGATGAGCTCCACTTTTACCTGTGTTCTTCACCGAGTATAACCAATTCTATTGGAGCCCAAGGTTCCATGACTTTGGAAATCACTCGACTAGGACTAGATGACCCAGGTAGCTATGCCCATGGTCCTCTGGGCTCATGCAATGGGTTCTATGGACATGCAAACTTGGAAAAGACCACTGGGCACACCAAGCTGTTGGAGACTCACAGTACTTGTGGACTGCTGCAAACTGCTTGATGATCATTTAGCTGGGAGTAAGGAAGGAGAAGTCCTGATCGGTACTGCAGCTGATTCTCATGGTGTAAATTCTTCCAACACAGCCAGTTTCAAGGTGTCAATGTGAAATCTCTGAATACTGAGGCAGGAAGAGTCGCACACGTGATCTGGCTTTGGCACACTGCTGGGTGGGAGGTTGCCATGTCAGTCTTATTATGGGATGTGGAAAGTTGCTCAGATACCTGAATCCCCTCATCATGGAAGTGTACTTTTGGTTCTATTGAGATTCTGGAACTCACTCATGTGACTTGCTTCCTGCTTCCACCTCAGGCCTGAAGATGCCCAGCAATCCTCCAGTCCCACAGAAGCAAGAGCTGAACTGGCTTAGCAAGCCCAGCCCAGCTAAGCCCAGCTGGGTGACCTTGGAGACTCCTGAGCTACACTGCTGCTTCTGGTTCTGACTTTATTAGACATTAGTAGTTAATCAGTGATTAACTGATTCAGAAATTGGTACCTAGAATGGGAAGCTGCTGTTCCTAAAATATGTACAGTGGTTTGGAACCAGGAAAAGAGGAAATTTGGTGGAAGAGGGAAAAATGGTGCCCTGTGTTATGTGGTGAAGAATTGCTCAGAAAAATTATTATTTATCTGGACGACAGCTATGCTGACCACTATACCAGAATGCTATTGATTTGGGAGGGAGAAGATGGATCCATAAATCAGTGGAGTTGGGCAGGATGGTTTCCAGACAGAATAAACATCAACTTCTTTGGGCTGTAAATAATAAGGTACTACAAGCAAGAGATGAATTCAGAAAAGGAACTGACCAGTTTGCAAGCACAATCTAGAAAATGGGACTATTTCCCTAGTCTCTTTAGCCAGTAAAAGATTCTTAAATTATGATCTGACCTGGGAAGCCAAGACCAAATCCAGGGAGTGCCAGTGAAACATGTCTTAGAGTAAAAAACAAAACATAGGTGTGCCCTTGATTGTAGCGTCCTGTGTCTTAAGGTTCTTGAAATGAATCAGGTGCCATTTAAAATGATATTTTAGCAAGAGTAAGGTGCCTAGAAAGCGTGAGGACATGGTTCACAGTAGCCTGATGTTGGGACACCAGTCACCAAATGTGGAGAGAGGTATATTACCAAACGAATTGTGGGTACAGCTTTTGGCACATAGATTGAACTGAAATCAAATACATAGGAAACCCACATGATGTTTGAGAGAACACAAGGCAAATGAATTGCTACTGTGGACTAAAAAGGGTCTAAGACTTTTTGAAACAAAGAATTTCAAGCCTTCAACTTGTTACATATAGGCAGGAAGGGGTTGAAAGTTACTCCTCTGCCAAAGGGCACATTTTTTTCTCCACTCATTTATTTTTAAAAAATTTGTTCTTTTTAGATATACATGACAGTAGAATATATTTTGACGTATCCTACATACATGGAGTGTAACTTCCCATTCTTGTGGTTGTACATGATGTGGAGTTACACTGGTCATGTGCTCATATATGAGCATAGGAAAGTGATGTCTGATTCATTCCACTATTTTCCCATTCCCATCTCTCCTCCCTTCCCTTCATTTCCCTTTGTCTAATCCAGTGAACTTCTGTTCTCCCCGCAGCCTCCAGTTATTGTGTGTTAGCATCTGCATATCAGAGAGAACATTCAGCCTTTGGTTTGGGGGGATTGGCTTATTTCACTTAACATGATATTCTCCAGTTCCATCCATTTATGGGCAAGTTCCATAATTTCATTCTTCTTTATGACCAAGTAATATTCTGTTATGTATATGTATCACATTTTCTTTATCCATTCATCTGCTGAAGGGCATTTAGGTTGGTTCCATAGCCTAGCTATTGTGAATTGAGCTGCTATAAACATTGATGTGGCTATGTTACTGTAGTATGCTGGTTTTAAGTTCTTTGAGTATAAACTGAGGAGTGGGATAACTGGGTCAAGTGGTGGTTCCATTCCAAGTTTTCTGAGGAACCTCCATACTGCTTTCCAGCGGGGTTGCACCAATTTGCAGTCCCACCAGCAATGTAGGAGTGTGCCTTTTCCCCCACATCCTTCCCAACATTTATTGTTACTTGTATTCTTGATAATTGTAAAGGCACATTTTGCAGTGCCCCTTTCAGAAGTTGAAAGGGTGATGGAAGATGATTGTCTCAGCAGCGGAAGCCGGAGTGTGGAACACTGTGAACTGGGAGTCACTCCAGGGAATGTTCCACTCCCAGAGCAGGACACTAGCCATGTGTGATTAGCAAATGCCTCCCTGTCTCCTTTCCTCAGATGAGCATGTCCCTGGTTATCCATCCCACTGGGTGTTGGGTGTTGCATGTGCAGGGTGTGTGGGTTGGATAATTTGTCTTTTTTAGTTTGCATGTTTCTGGATCAAGAGCCACATCCAGAATGGACGTAGACCACACCATCTTGAACTTCAAGCCTGAAGTCGATTGCACAGGCTTTTGGAATCTTGAGTATACTTTACAGGTGGGACATGAATAACCGTTGCTGAGGGCAGACTGTGTAACCTGGACTATTATTGAGAAATAGCCCCTCTTTCCCCTCATCTCAAACTTCCCGACTTCACTAATGGCAGGTTTGGCCCTGGTACTTACTTTGGCCAAAAGAATGAGGTGAAGTCCATGGGGAGCCAGTTCTGAGCAGAGGTCTAAAGAGGACCCACCTCTGCCTGCGTGCTCTCCTCCTGTGCTTCTGGATGAGAGTCACGTGGGGCAGAGCCAAACTGCCCCAGCTAAGCCATCTAGATTAGCTGACCCCAGCCGACCCCAGATGCAGGAGCCACATCAACCACGTCATTTGGGATCAGCCAAGCCCCAGAAGACCCAGGTTCTTGATCGAAGTCAGCGTTCACTATTGCGTGGTGCTGGGCTTCCAGGGACAGCGTCAAGTGGCACGGTGGTGGTCAGAGTTAACGGATACAAAAGAGAGGGCTCCGTTGAATGATCTTAACGGGCTTCTAAAGACTGGGGGTCACCCCATCTCAGGCAGCACAGGAGTAATAGGGGGACCTGCTGCCCTCTTGCCAAAGCAGAGCACAGATGCTTCCAGGGAATAAGTAGCAAAGCAGAGAGTGTGGGCCCAGTCAAGCCGGATCCAGTCTTCTCACCAGCCCAGCAACCACTCCCACGGAGAAGCAGGGAGACGGAAGAGGGAGGAGCAAGGACGGGAGTGTGGCTCCTGCTGTGTTCTTTCCACCAAGAACTTTGGCCACAGAAGAGGTCGGTCCTTCCCCGGGCACACAGTGATGGCTTTGGTGTGCTCTTAGAGAAGAGACCAGCGAAATTCTATTCCCCCTGGGTGTCTCCTCCTCTGTTTTGACCATAAGACCTTGCTGCATCCCATCCATTTGGAACTGAATGCCCTCTAAGCCAGATGATGTCCCATGTGGTTTTGGCTTCAAGACTACCTGACCTGCGGCTAAGGTAGTTCTCAGGGAGAAAAGGAGGGAGTTCAAGGACCTGCACTGGGAGATCAGAAGTCTAATCCTGCAGGAGGTGCCCTCTTAGCCCTCTACCTCAGGGCTTGCTCTCTCCTGCTTTCATGCCACAGTCCCTAAATCTGTCCCACCCCCAGGCTGGGCCTCATGCCTCCCTTTGGATTCTCTGAAGGTTTATTACAGTGGTTCAATGGTTCCCTAAAGCTGACTGCTACTCACGGCTGCTCCCCATGGTCCCTTCTGCCCAAGATGGCAGGTGGGTATCCGGGTTTCACCTGCCTGCCCTAACTCTTTCCTTGGCCTGCACCAGGAAACACCGCTTGCCCAACACGGGGCCCGATTATCTCCTTGCCACCACCCCCACCCTGGCACAAATGGGCTCCATCACGCGTACCCACCACGGGGAGGTATCTAACAGAGGAACGCTGGGCCCACACCTGGATCCTGCAAAGCCGCTTAGAGGTGCAGACCAGCTCACTGGAAAAACAGCTAGATATTCATCAACCCTGCCCACACCCACCCCAAAGGGATAAGCAAACAGCCCGTAAATGCCTCAGAATTAAACATCTCTTGGCGAAGGTGGGAAAGTCAATTTTGACACTGTTAAGAAAAAATACAGCCTAATTTCCGTTCAATTGCACCAAATTTACTGCCCAGATTCTCATTAACGACTGTCAAGGGAGAAGCAGATAGACAAGATAAATTATGAAAAAATTACTTTTTTAATGTACAAAAAGACTTATTTACAAGTTGAGCGTGTCATCTCAATTCATAGCATGTAGAAAAAGCTAAAAATGTTTTGGAGATATAAATTTGGCCGGACGACTCACCTACAGTATATTCAGGGACGACGTTTTCTTCACAAAATATATACAGGTTGGGGACGGCGAGTACAGCCCTATCCCAGGAAGGGAGCATACGCCACCAGAGCCACACACCCCTGGCGAAGGCTCAGGGCTGTCATTTGAAGTTGGCCTCATCTCTGGGTCTTAACAAGGAGTTTTGCTTTCCTGGGAAACAGAGGGCCCAGTTAATCAGCCCTGGGCCCTGTCCACAGACTGTCGAGAAGTTCCTCTCAGGAGCCAGGGTCACAGCCGGACTGAAGCTACGTGGCACAGTTGTTTTGGCTAGGTTGCCAGGAATTCAACACGAGAAGGTTTGGGGTGCGTGCGCACAGTGGGAAGAGGCACCGGTTCACCCTCTGTATGCTCAGGAATGATGTCTTTTTGGAGTCACTTCCAAATTCCACTTGCAGGTGGGGCTTGGTCACACTGTGACCATCCCTCAGGGTCCAAGAGTCAACCCCTTCACCCTCCCATCCCCACCCAAACGCCATGCAGGACATCATTCTCTGCCAAATAACCAGGGAGGGTAGAGGTCAGGGAATTCAGAAGTTATAGGGGGTGCTCGTTGTGGCCTGGAGTAGACCACTGATTGGGCTGCTGGTGACTACTCACCAGCATGCACCACGCGCAGGAGGCTGGGCAACGGTTGCCCTCGAGCCTAGAGTTATCCATGGTAAGGTGGGCAGACAGTGCATTGGAGAAACAGGACTAGGTAAACATGCGACTTCTTCCTACTGGGACACCTCAAGCTGCGGTGTGCCCTGGACTCCTCGAGGCCCCGTCTTCCTAACCCACAGCAGCTCCAGCAACCCCGAGGTATTTAGAGACAAGCGTTCCTTTAGGAAGGGCTACATTCTACATGCATGAACACTGTAAACACAGAGGGGACAGGCCGGAGCAGCTTACTCCAGGTAATACACCTGTTCTCTCCTTTTTCCTGGTGACACTTACATATTTTATTCAATCATATATACGTGGGCAATCTGCCGGTCCCAAACACTGCTGCAGAGGGTAGAGATTCCAGCTCTACCAAACCTGGAGTTAAGATGTGTTTCCAACACATTTGGATCGAATGGGCTTTTTTTTTTTTTTTCTCTGTGGCAAAGGAACTCAGAGACCTCAAGGCTGAAGTTTATTAGAAGAATCCGGGTAGGCAGGAATTCCTTTTCCTTACAGGCGGCAGAATGAGAAGCCCAAATTCCTTGAGTAGAAGATCCAGTATGGCTTTCAGATTCAAACCCCACCGTGGCTCCCCGACCCTCTTTCTGCATGCACTTGGGAAGCCCTTGGCCGATGGAATCCCCCATTAGGCAAATGATAGAGGGGAGCAGCGAGAACCCAGTGGGTCCCACAAACACCAAAGGCTGACAAGCACTGTGTGCGTGAGTTTTTCATTCTTTTCTTTCCTATTGAGACCTTTTTTTAGCATTCTGAAAAATAGTCCAAAGGACCAGAGGATACTCACGAACTTTCTCTTCACACGTCTTTAGTCTGAACCATTGGCAAAAAACCTCTCAGCCCTATTTAATACTTTTTTGGAAAAAGAAAACATGAATGCCATTCCCATGCTCCGGGGAAGTGACGAATCCCTCTAGCTCTGCTCTGCACCAGGGTCCCGGGCCTTAAGTCATCATGTTCAGGAACTTGTTCTCCTCGGCCAGGCTGGTGAGCATGGAGCTCATGTCCCCAACGGCCATGTTGCTGATGCCCGTGGGGATGGAGGGCAGAGTCAGGGAGTTCCGGGGGGTGGTAAGGCGGGAGGAGTTCTGGGAGAGGCTGTGGAGGAGGCTGGGGCTGAGCGCACCCGAGAACAAGCTCGAGTGATCGCCGTCATCCATGATGGCGTCGAAGTCGATCTGGGGGGCCTCCAGGAGCTGGGAGTCCACGGTGCTGGACACCTGGTTGACCCCTGGTGAGGGCAAGGGCTGGGGCTGGATGCTGTCCGGGCAGGTCTGTGGTGCTGGTGGCTGGGGCCGCATGGCTGGGCAGCCTCCGTGGCTCTCCAGGCCCCCATTCTGTTCGTACATGTGGATCTGGCCATAGTAGTGGAGAGTGCTGTGGTCCTGAGTGCCGCCTGCATCCTGCGGAGGTGGCTGAGGAGGCAGGGTCACCATGGTGCCCATTGCTCCCTTGGGCACAGCCTCTGATGTCTCCTGATTGACTGACATGGAAGCCATGGCCTGGCTAGTGGCCCTGGCATAGGCCAACTGCTGCCCAGCACGTACCCCCCGGTGGCGGCCGACGGGGCTGGGCTCAAGGGGTGGCCGGGGTTGTACTAGGCCAAAGCTGGATGTGGCCACCCCCATGGTGCTCTGCTGGGACTCCAGGAAGCCGGGTTGGTGGGGGGGCAGAAGGCTAGAGCCTTGGCGGTAGCCCTCCTGACTCAGGGGGCCTGTCAGGTGGTGGCTCTGCTGTGGATAGCTCTGGGCTGGGTGAGGTGGTGGTACCCCAGCCAGTGCTGAATTGGGAACCCCAGTTTCCCTGTGGTGGCCTCCCATCATGGAGGGGTTAGAGGCAACTTCCATCTGCTGAGGAAGCCCCAGGTGGCCTGGCTTGGCTGCCATATTGCTGCAGGATTGGGGGAACTGGTTCAGGGCCCCACCGGCAGTGCTGGGGCTCAGCTGAGGGTGGGCTTGGCCAAAGTTGGTGTGGGGGCTCCCTGCAGAGGTCATGCTGAGACACTGACCACCTGTGGCTGGCTGTCGCAGCGGCTGCATGTAGTTCACCCTGGGTGCAGAGGGGGCTCCGCTATGGGGCTGGAGGTGTGGCTGGGTGCTGTCCAGGCCCCCAGGGCTGGGCTGTAGGCCTTGTGGACTGTACCCCGGGTACTGGCTGAAGGCTGGCTTCTGCTGTACCACAGCCAGATTGCCCTGAGAGAAGTGCGGAGGCTTCACCTGGCTGGGCAGGGGGGCATCCATGGTGCCAGAGCTCACCTCATTCCACTGGACAGGCATGTTATTTTTGTTCAGGTTGGAGGGTGCCCCATAGCCCAGCTGGCAGCCTCCCATTGAGGGGCCAGAGGGGCCCCCATTGGAGTCTGCAGCCACTAGTCTGCGATGGCCATGCATGCCTGGGCTGGGCAGTTTGGGGTTCTCAGGGAAGCTGGTGCTTTCCGTGGGGTACACCTGCCTTGTGCTCTCCTCCAGGGCACCACTGGTGTGTGCCTTGATGTATTGCACCACGTCATCCGGGAGCACCAGGTCATCCTCCGGCAATCCCAGGTCGGACTCGGGCCCTGTGCCGTCCATCCCTGTGGCCATGGCCTCCATCATCACATTCTCGCTGATGCTGGGTGGCCTGGGAGAGTAAGCGGTATGAGCCAGGCTGCCGTCGGTGCTCGGGTGGCTGGGCAGGCGGAGGCCTCGCCTCTCGGGGCAAGGTGGCAGTGTCCCCGGGCTGACGTTGTGGGCGCTGTGGAAGCGCTGTACCCGTGGCAGAGCTAGGGCATCAGGCCGCCGCACGGGGTCGCTGGCCCGTCTTGCGCCGCCGCCTGGTGCTTCATGGGGGAAGGTGGGCAGAGCCCCCAAGTGACCATGGCCATGACCTTGACCGTAAGCCGGTCCGTCGCTGCCACGCCGGGGCCCTAGTGGGTGTGGGAAAGAGGAGGGCAGAGATCGCTCAGGCGCATCCAGCAGCGCCAGCCTGGTCCGCAGGCTCATGCGCTCCAGGCCGGGGAGCGGTGTGGGTGGTGGCCCTCCGGTGGCCGCCGCGTACTTGGCCCGCAGGCTGTACTGCTGCGCAGGCGTGAGGTTGAGCAGCCCCGGGCCCCCGCCGCTGCACTGACTGGCCTCGCTGGACCTCCGCGAAGCGTCTGTGGAGATGGGGTCGTAGGAGTCCGCGGAGCTGGCGTTGTGGGGGCGGCCGGCGCCCAGGGGCGAGGCCTCACTGGAGCGGCGGCTGGAGAAGTAGGGGGAGATGCCCGAGGAGCGGCGGCTCACGGTGTAGGCCGAGCTGATGGTGCTGGTGGAGCTGTCGCGGCGCTCCTGCAGCTGGCTCAGCATGGTCACCTCGTTCGCTGCCAACTCAGACAGCCGTGGGTTGGGCAGCAGCCCTGTGGGCCCGCCACCCCCAGGGCCGCTGAAGTTTTCCAGGCTGGAGCCTGTAGGGGAAGCAGAGGGGTCAGTTCTGGGGCCCAAGGAGCGGGGCTCTGCCTACTTGGGTGGTACCGAGGCAGTCTGCTGAGCCTGGAGCCCTAGAAGAGGGTGTGGCATACAGATGCCACTCAATAGAAGATTTGGAAATGAAAGGGAGCGTAGGAATGATAAATGAACAAATGGTGGCACTTATTGCCAGGGTGAGTGATTGAAAGCTAGGAGGCCTAAATCTTAGCTCTGTCACTGCCCTGCTGCCTGTGGATTCTGATGATTCTGCTCTTGTAGATAATGCACCTCTCTAAAGGATTGCACTCCACCCCAGCAATGGGGATTGAACCCCAGGTGCTTTACTGTTGAACTATGGGGCCATCTCAATAGACAAGAGTAGCACTTTTTTTTTTTTTTTTTTTACTTTTTTTTTGAGACAGGGTCTTACTAAGTTGCAGAGTCTGACCTTGAATTTGCAATCCTTCTGCCTCAGCCTCCCAAGCAGCCTGATCACAGACATGTGCCACCTTCCCTGGCTGGGACCCAGTTATTGTCTAGAGGGGATTAGGGCTACAGTCTCCTGTATCATCCGAGTCCACAGATGGGGGTTGTGAGTTGGGACCCCCGAAGGCTACTTATAAGGAGGGCCCTGAGATCCATACCTGTGAGGGGAAAGAAAGAACGTGGGGGTAGTCAGAGGAAGTGAGCCTAGGTTGATCTCAGAGGAAGGTCTGGATCTCCAGTGGCCCTTTAGTGCTGCCCCAAGTTGGGCCAACATGGCTGGTCCCTTACACTCCTGCAGTAATCACTGATGGATGTGGCTACTCAGGGAGGGGTGACCTTGGCTGTCCATAACCCAGGAAATTCCATAAGAGTTCAAGGTGATCATCAGCAGTCCCTCCAATAGTTGGGACAACAAATATTCCTTAGGATGGGTGTATCACAGTGTCCCCAACAAGGGGCTGTCAGTTCCTGGAGGGCTTGGGGCCTGAGTGCCCAGTGCCTAGTGCAATGCTGGGCATGCAGTTAGCACTCAAGACTTGCTTGCTGAAGATCCCTTCCATCTCAAAGTGCAGGTAGAGCAGAGTGCCACCTCCTCTAGGAAGTCCTCCTGCTCTTGCCCAGATAGACAGGCTTCTCTTTCCTCTGCACTGCTCTATACTTAGCTGTGTCTTTGGTGTCCCTCTGCAATACAGGGGTAGTCCAGTGGCAGGGCCTGCAGTGGTGGGGACTTGAACACTGTCTACAGCAGATGCTTAATAAATGACTGGAAAAGGAAGAGGATGATGTGGGTGCCCAAGGTTTGCCTCTTTTTAGGGGGCTACAGGGAAGCATCATGGTGCAATTGAAAGAGCACAGGGCTTTGGAGCCTCACAGGGCTAGATGGTCTTACCCTTGAACTTGATTCAGATGGGGATGTTTTTGGCTTTCTCAGTCTCCTTCTGTGTGCAATGTGCTGGTGAGTGCTGGGTGGGAGTGGGTCTAGCTGGTGCAGCCCCAGGTTCTCTCCCACCCCACTCATAAGCCCTGGGCATCCACTCACCACTTGCTGGGAGGGGAGGCAGCTTGGTGTTCCGGGTGTGTGGAGCTGGGCCAGCCCACGAGCAGGAATCCTTGAGTGACTTGAGCTTCTCCCTCTTGAGCTGCTCGAAGCGGTGCATGGTGGTCCCGTGTTTGCGCAGCTGCAGGCCACCAGTGGAGGGGGCAGCCAGGGCTGGGGCATCGGCCCCTGGGGGTGTGTCATCCAGCGATGTCAGGTCTCCCAGGCTCCCGGGCCCCGTCCCCGGCATCTCCACGCCACTGTCATTGTTGGGGGCACTGCCCAGGGGAGAGGGCTCGCTGCTGCAGGATGACTGAGCCCCGGGGCTGGACTGACACAGCTATAGGGAGGAGGCAGAAGTCAAAAGCTCAGAGAGTATGCAGATGCACCTCGTCCTGCATCCACCCTGCATCCACACCACACTCAGGCATGCTGGGATGGGGGCGTGGGGGGGAAGGACAACATCTCAAAGAGGAACTTGCAGACCATCGCTGTGGGTCTACGCGAGATGGTCAAGTCACTTCACTTCGCTTAACCTTGGCCTTCCCAACTACAAGATGAACCTGCCTGCCTGCTGGGCACCTGGCATGTGCACAGGTCCCCGGATGGCAATGAGAGAAGGTGCTGAAGCAGTCCCAGCAACAGCGATGTACGCAGGATGAAGCAGAGGACGAGCCAAGAGTTGGTCCTTGTACTGGGTGGGGCCATATCAATAGGCCAGAGGCAGGTGTTAGAAAGGGGAGGGACACCCAGAGACGGGGAGCTTCAGGATGCAGCCTTGACTGAATGGCCGCTGCCCTCCCTCTGTGTTGAGGTGGAGTAGGGCAGAGAGCTCATGACCAATGCACAAGTCAAGAAAGACAGAGAACTCGGGCTGCACCCGCTGAGGCTGGGGATGGCACCTGGATGAAGCTCACCCTTTCACCTTGGATGCAGCACCTCAGGGCTCATTTCCAGACCAAATGCCCCCAAATCCTAGCCCTTTCCTTGGGAAGCTGTGATGCTTTCTCTCATTAGGACCCAAGCTCCCAGCAAACAGGGTCCTTCCAGGTCTTCTGGCCCATGATACTCCTTATTCTCCTGTGGCTGGTCTTCAAGACCCTCTAGGTTGGTGCACCCCCTCTGCAGCCTGGTCTCCCCCCACTCTCCTCCTGACCAGCTATTCTGCAGCCACTGTTCCCCCACCTGCCAGCTCACTCCTGCTGCCAGCCTTTACCTACTTTGGTATTCCCACGTATAGTGCCCTGCCGTCTGCCTCTCCAAACCCACGGTCTGGGCCCAGGAGGCCTGGACTGACAGGTCAGTGTCCACCTGGGCAATGGTACCCACGAGAACCCCGGCCCACCCTCGCTCACCCCTGCCCGCCCCCACCCCCACCAGAATCCTCTGCTCACCTCAGTACCGTCTATCCTTAGGGGAGGTACAGTTGGGAAAGAGGCGGAGACAAAGAACAGGTGGTTAGAACAAAAGGAGCAGAGGCCAGAGGGGAAGGACGCAGAACAGGACAGAGGGTTGGGGACCCCCAGCAGCCCTCTGGTGCTGGTTGGAGAGGCAGACACGTAGGGACCGCCCCCACCCGGCACAGCCCGATGTGGGGAGCGGGCATCCTCAGCCCCGCCTCCAGCCCTGCCACAGCTGCCCAGCAGGAGCGAGGTCACAGAAAGGGACCTGGACAAGACAGGCTCCATGTGAGGCCAAGGCAATAAGGGGACAGAAAGCTGAGTTGGGGAGAGGAAGGACATCATCGCACCCTTAGGTGGGGGACCTCAGAGCAGAGCCCATACCCTCGCAGGGTCCTGGGTCCTGGCCCAGCTGCAAAGTGCCCTTTGCAGCTGGGTCGCCCGGCTCTGCTTACCCCGGAGCTCTCGGTCTTGATGGCTTTGATGTGCAGGCAGTCTTCCACTGCCTGGCTGCTGCTGCTGGCCTCAGCACTGTCCTCAGACCCCCGGCCACCAGGCTCAGTGCTGGCCTCGTTGTCTCCGTTCTCCTTGAGCAGCGGGGCGCGGAGATGCACATCGTTGCGCTGTTTCTTGGTGACGTGGGCGTCTGGGCCATGGACCGTTTTCACATGCTTCCGGAGGGAGCTGGGGTCGGTGTACCTCTTGGTGCAGCCTGGGATTTTGCAGATGTAGGGTTTCTAGGAGGAGAACCAAGACTGTGTCATGGGTGGGAACACGAGGACAAACTCTGCAGGGGTGCACTCCCTATCCTGAAGCCATCCCAGGCCCCTGGATGACCTGGTTGGCACCACGGGTGGGCACTCTGCTGCATTTGCGGCCAGTGCCCTGTGCCTGGAGCATGCCAACTGCAGGCCCACGGCAGCCTGGCCCCAGCGGGCTGGGTACCACCTTTTCATGCAAATTAAGTGCATGGTCAAGGGTGCGCTTTCCATAAGACACTGGGGCACTGGTGAGAGAGACTTTGAAAGGGACACGCATGCCTTCCTTGGGAGCCAGCACCAGCACCCGGAAGAGGGGAGATGGGTTCAGAGAGGAAACAAAACAAAACAAAAAAAACCTTACTGATAAAAGGTAAAGACTGGGCTCAAAGCTCCCCTATGACCACGCCCACATACAGGCACACCCCAGCCACGCGGACACCACTCCAAGTCCCCTCCCACCATCCCCGCCAGTTATACATTTACAATCATGCACATCCGCCCCCATTCATACCTACACATACACATGAGCCCACATACACACACACACACACACACACACACACTCCTTTTCAAGGCTGGTTCTTATTCGTAGATGCCCTACCAGGTCCAGAGGCCTTTGGGAATTCCTCTTAACTTCATACAGGCGTTGAAGCAAGGTCCATTTGGGGCCTCCACCTTATCTAAGCTATTAGAAATGCTCTTTATAAAGTCTTCCCGAGTCACAGTGATTGTATGGCTGGGCCGGAACTGGGGCCAGGGGTCGCAGACCCTGAAGGCACCTGCTGATTTCCCACCCTGGGCTCTCTCAGCCCTGCCAGGGCTCTGGGTACCCAGGGACAAAGAGTCTACCCTGGGCCCCAATGACAGGGAGCTCAGGGTCACAGCAGACTCAGGCAGCACTAGCGGGTAGAACGTGTCACTATCAGCTACTGGGACCGCTGGAGCAGAAGCAGCTTGTGGAGCTCAGATGGCATCACCACGGCAGCTGCGCAGCCGCAGGCATCTTCTCTTTCAAAATAGAAGATAAAGCACAGACAGGGAGCCTGGCGCACCCAGGTCCCCGAGGGGTGGTCTGCATCCAGGGATGTGCAGCAGCTAGTAGTGGGAGAGGGGCCCCCGGCACCTGGCTACCTACTGCCCGCAGGTGGCTACACATTGCAGGCTGCGCTTTGGCGCACTGGTCCCCGGGCCCCTGTGCGCAGGCGCGGGGTGGGTACCTCGTTGGAGTGGGTGCGGTTCTGGTGCTTGGCGCGGTCCGAGGCGTTGGAGAAAGCCTTGTTGCAGCCCTCGTGCTCGCACACGTAGGGCTTCTCCCCGGTGTGGGACCGCAGGTGTGTCTTCAGGTTCTCCAGGCGAGAGTAGGCCTTCGAGCAGCCTTCGAACTGGAAGGAGGTGGGGAGGTCCGTGAGGGCAGCCCAGGTCCAAGGCAGGATGCACTGCACCCCAGCCCGGTACCGCTCAGCTTGTGCCCAGAAGATGGGTTTCGTCAGTGCTAACAGTTAACATGTCTTGCCAGAAAACTAGGAAAGGGGCAGAAATGTCTAACAAGCTGACTCAAAATGGATCAAAGACCTTATTGGAAAAGCTAGACTATAAAACTAGTGTGTGTGTGTGTGTGTGTATCAAAATATATGTTTAAAACTATCAAATTCTTCGAAGAAAACGAAGGGGTAAACCTTTGTGACCCTGGATTAGACAGTGATTTCTTAGATACGATAAAAGCCTAAACAACCCATCATTAGTTTCATCAAAGTTAAACTTTTGGGCCTCAAAGGAAATTATCAGCAAAATGAAGGCAACCCTCAGAATGGGAGAGATATTTGCAAATCATATGTCTGAGAGGATCTATTACCTAGATATATAAAGCTCTCTTACAACTGTTTCCCCCCCCCACACACACACACTGGGTACTGGGGATTGGACCCAGGGTAGGGGGGTATATGACTATATATCCAACCCTGTTTATTTTTAAAATTTGAGACAGCATTTTGCTAAGTTGCTGAGGCTGGCCTTGAAGTTGGGATCCTCCTGCCTCAGCCTCCTGAGTTGCTGGTGTTACAGGTGTGTATCACCACGCCAGGCAAGAAGTCTTACAACTTATCCATAAAAAGACACTGCACACTCACACAAAGAAAACCAAACCAAACCCAAGAAAACCCCCCAAACTTAACCAAAGTGGTTTCTAACCCATCATTGCTCAAATGCCTCCAGCTGTGACTCACCAAAGATGCTTTCCTGCAGGGTGCTGTGGAGGTGGCTTTTCTGCCCAGTGTCCCAAGTTAATCAAAGTGGGCTGTGCTTGGGGCTTATAATCAGACGGCCAAGGTGACATCAGCACACCTGTACCCCGGTTACCGAGTTCCTCATGCCCAAAGAGTGAATTTGCTAAGTTCTGGGCAGCAGTGGACCGGTGGCCTTCAGGACTCCAGGCAGGCAGAAAGCCAGCGTGGGGACAGACAGGATGACTCACTGGCCAGACCTGTCCCCATGCTGCTGCCGTGGCCTGTACCACTCAAGTCTGCCTGTGGTCTCCAGACCACCACCCCCTGGCCTGGAGACGTAGGTCCTAAGGCTGCTGTGGGAGGAGGGTGCTCACCGTGCACTTGTGGGGCTTCTCGCCTGTGTGCCGCCGCATGTGGACCACCAGCATGTACTGGGCCTTGAAGGGCTTCTGCTCCCGCGTGCAGGCCTGCCAGCGGCACACGAATTCCTTCTTCTCCCCATGGATGTGCTCGTTGTTGATGTGCTGCACAGGAACAAGCCCCAGGAGCCGGTGAACCCAGGTGCCTGCCCCATGGACCCCCAGGGCCACTGCCACGTGCGGCTCCCGGACCCCTGAATTGTGGCTGGTTAAAAGTGCTGTGTGTGTGTTTGTGTGTGGGGGCGTCTAAGGGCAAACTACACACTGGTTTCAAAGCCTCAGTAATTTAGTGAGGCCCTAAATAATTCAGTGAGACCCTGTCTGTAAATAAAATACAAAAAAGGGCTGGGGATGTGGCTTAGTGATCAAACGCCCTTGGATGCACTCCATAGTACCTAAATAAATAAATTAGTACAGGCAAATTAGTACAGTTTTCAAAGACTTAGACTGGGAAAAAATGTACATTATCTCAATTAACGTCGTTCTATACTGATGGTATTGGTGACAGGATAATATTTCAGCTATTAAGTAAATAAAATATATCACAGGGTAAGCATCCTTAATCTGATATCCAGGTACAACACTTTCTGAGAAACAACTCAATGCCACAAGTGGGAAATTCCACACTTGATCTCACGGGATGGGTCCCCATGCACTAAAAATACTATATAAAATACTATATTAAATTACCTTCACACTGGCAGAAGGTGTACACAAAACAGAAGTGAATTTCATGTTTAGACTTGGATCCCATCTCCAAGATATCTCATTATGTATATGCAGCACTTCCAAAATGCAAAAAAATCCCAAGTCTGAAGCACATTTGGTCCCAAGCATTCTGGATAAGGGAGGTTTTCTAGCTGTTTTAAAGTTAACTTTGCTTGTACTAATTTATTTATTTAGGTACTTTGGAGTGAATCCAAGGGCGTTTGACCACTAAGCCACATTTCCAGACCTTTTTTGTATTTTATTTAGAGACAGGGTCTCACTGAATTACTTAGGGCCTCACTAAATTACTGAGGCTGGATTTGAAGTCACGATCCTCCTCCCTCAGCCTCCTGAGCTGCTGGGATTACTGGCATGTGCCACCGTGCCCAGCTTGCACTTTTGTTTGGGGGGGGGATGCTGGGGATTGAATTTGGGGCACTCAACCACTGAGCCACATTCCCGGCCCTATTTGATATTTGGAGACAGGGTCTCACTGAGTTGCTTAGCACCTCACTTTTGCTGAGACTGGCTTTGAACTTGCGATCCTCCTGCCTCAGCCTCCCGAGCAGCTGGGATTATAGGCGTGCGCCACTGTGCTCGCCTGTACTATTTTTTAATGCTTATAGGAAATGTAAAATTGCATACATGGATGGCATTTGTAGCTTGCAGTCTCCTTCTCCTGAACAATGTAGCTTGATCTGTGTGACCTATGAAGCTGAGCATCAGGCCTTTGGTGGCACCTGATCCCAGAAGACAAAAAGCCATCAGGCACCTGTGCCCTGTGCAAAGGCTCCACTGTCAAGCCCACAAACACCTCCACTAGAGCAAGTAAACTACACAGCACTTTGAACTTCCAGAGAAATCCTCTCCTATTAGCCTCCCTTTCTATTTTTAAAGTCTTTCAAATGATCAAAATGCTTCCTGACAATGCCTTTCATTTTTTTCTTATTGGTTTACTTAGCAACAAATTGTTAATAATCAAGTAGGGCTCCCGCTCGCCCATCCATCTTCCCAGGGAGCAACAGAAAGAGGCAGAGCTGGAGAAAGGGGCCCTTCCTCTCCGGCAGAGCAGCCCGCTGTCTCCAGAGCCAAGTGGAGGTGGCCACCTGCAACTATAGGGACAGTCCTGTGCCTACAGCCTTTTTTTTCCCCCGTACCGGGGATTGAACCCAGGGGTGCTTAACCACTGAGCCACATCCCCAGCCCTTTTTATATTTTATTTATAGACAGGTCTCCCTGAGTCACTTAGGGCCTCGCTAAGTTGCTGAGGCTGGCTTTGAACCTGTGATCCTCCTGCCTCAGCCTCCTGAGCCACTGGGATTACAGGCATGTGCCACCATGCCCGGCTTATGCCTGCTCTTTGGGATACACCTTTTGTGTCCTCACCTCTGCACTGTGGTTTGAGCCCCCTCCCATCCCGAGATGCTGACCCTCTCTTCCTGTAATCATATCTGATCTGTTCCACAAACCACAGCTCCAAGCTGCCTCTTCATCAGGGATCCCAAAGAGGTGGTACAGGTTGAAAGATCATGTTGGAGTTTTGGAAGGGATTAGATGAGACCCTGAGTTGCAGGTTCTGTATCAGCTGCAATGGGTTTGCTGGTAAATTCTGGTGTCCTGGGTGACAGTGTTGGGAGGAGAAAGACATCTATGGTGTTTGGGAACAAACCACATTGGAAGAAGCAGAGGGAGTTGGTGTGTTCTAACTGCCAAGTTCACATTACACCTGACTACTACCTTAATGGATGCTGCTGTCTAAGAGTTTGAATGGGGACAAAGAGACATACCCTGAAGGACACACTGACTCTGTGGCCTTCTTTGCCTAAGCTGTTAGAATATGGACATAGCCATCCACCTAAACCCAATACACTGTGTATCTGCAAATGGTCTCCAAGAGGAAATTACTAACTCTTTCCTCCATAGGAGAACCCTTTTTCAGGTTTTAGAGTCAGACTTTATTATTAGAGAGCCTGGCTGGTTTAATTAATCGGATTTCCCTTCATGCATTGGCTGCTAAGACGCTTAGGACAGGAAGATGTCCGTGTGTGATCTCGAGCTCCAAGCACTTGATTTTAATACGAACTCTCCTCCTGGCTTTACCCTGTTGTTCCCTTTGTCCTGATTTTCTCACTCACTTATTCTTTGACTCTTGTGTTACACATGTATTTGGAAGTCTTCTTATGGGAAACAGGCAGAGCACAAATAAGTCATTATGCCTCCCACTCACAGAGGATGCAACCCAGGGTCCTCCTGGGGCCTCCCCCATCAGCCTCTTATTGCAGCAGAGGCACTGGAGGCTGCAGGTCCAGTGTGGTGGGGGCTCCGCCCACCGTGGGCAGAGGCTGGCACGTGGGGTGGAGTCTGGGACGTGGGGTGGAGGCTTACGTGCACCAGCTGCTCCTGGGTGTCATACTCCTTTCTGCAGTCCGCCCAGTGGCAGTTGGTCTCGTAGATGACCACCTCGGCCTCCTGCTTACAGTCGTCCCTGTCCAGGTCTTCCTTGAGGTCAGCCAGCTGCTCCTGGGGCGGGGGGAGAGCAGATCACACCCTCATGAGCCGTGTCTAGCACGGGATCCTATTAGCCCTGTGCAGAATGCCAAGGACCCTGAGCAGACAGAGGTGTGGACACACGTGCACACATACGGACATGTGCAAACACATACACACACACACTCATCCAGAAGATCCCCGTCCATAGCTCTTCTTATCAGCAGCTGTCCTTTCTCTAGGGCTGGCTTGTCACCACCAGGTATTCCATCACCTCTTGCTTCTACTGACAGCCAAGGAGGACAGGAGAGGGCAGGGCAGCGACTTTTGTTTATTTGGGTTGGTCTCCACTGTGGGGAGCTGGGGTGGGCTCCGTGGGCTTTGGGAGGAGGAACATTTTTTTATTTATAATGTGTGCAGGGCCTGCTCCTGACGGAGGTGACAGGAAACCAACAGGTGTCTGGCTTGGAAGTGTTCCTCTCCCGTTGTTCCTCTCTGAAAGGCTCGGGAGACACCTGGATTTGCACCAGGGCAATGCAACTGTAGCTGCTCACTGCTCAGCAGAGGGAATGCCTCTAGAACATTCTCCCTGCACTGGTCCTAAAACGGAGTTTGCATTCTCGAATTACAGCTGGGAAAACTGAGGCTCTGGAAATGGTTGACCTCCTGGAACCCACAGCAAGACTGCAGCAGCCTAGATCTGACTTTGAGTTTTTCACATTATTAGGGCCCAGGAAAGCCCCATTTCAAGGTGGGGCTTCCCCACCCCAGCTGGTGCTAACCCAGAGCCGAGGGGAGCCTCTGAGTCATGGGGATAGACCAGAGGAACCTGCAGGGGGGGTTGGGAGGGCAGATCAGATGCCCCAGGCTGAGAGAGGGAGGGCCCAAAATGTTCTGTCGAGGACTTTCTAATACGCCACTCATTTACCAGTCAGGCTTGGAACAAAGCCGAGTGAAGAGGTGACCTTACAAACACTTGCTTGATATTTCAAACTATTTTCAAAAATAGGAGGAAAATGTTCTATCTTTCCAAATAGCCTCTGGGGACAGCATGCCCAGTGCAGGTGAAGGGGAGCATCTCTTGCCATGGTCAAGAGCCCTAACGGATGCTGGCTCCTGAGATTTAGCCAAACTGAGTCCATTTCGAGGATCCCAGAAATCAGCAGAAATGGCTCCCGGCTGTGGGGTGCCGATCACCTCTTGGCCTGACTTTTCCACGGGGGACTCAAAGAACTCTTCCTAAAAAGGCTCCCGGCTGTTTTCAGGGTAACTTTAAATAATGCACTCTCTGAAAGGAAACCAGCACTATAACTGGGCTGAGTGGGGACCACGGGACAGGACCCTCAGGAACACCTCCTCCTGCATCTTTAGCAGAGGAGGGCTGCTGAAGGGAGACCGTGGAGAAGGGACCCCCGGGTCTCCTAATGCCACTCCTCATGCATTTGAAGGAACACCGGGAGTATTTTGCTATTTCCAGACACTGAAGGCTCGGCTCACTTCAGACAAGACCCAGGGAGACTGGTGGGCTGACAAGTGGAGGGAAGCTCCCAGGACACGACCACGGGTCCCTTGGCAACGCTGGCATCATCCTTGCCTGCAATTCTGAGCGCTTCGGCAGAGCAGAGATTCATCGTGCTGCATTTTTCTGCCAAGGCAAAGCCGCCCGTCCACCTTGCTGTGAATCAGGACTCGGAGTGACAGGAGGACCACCCCCTCGTGATAAAATGCTTTCCTTCCACGGACATCCCCAGCAGCTGCTGAGCGGGGAGGGGGCTCTGTGCGGCCCACCTGGGCTGGAGGGCGGTCCCAGGGCCCCCCTGATGGCGGGTGGGACATGGGCCTCCCAGGTGCTCAGTGCCTGACTCTCGCCCCGCCTGCCACTCCAACCTGTTTATCTTCCCTGGATATGTGCTGTCCTCATCTATTTCAACGACCCCTTATGATGGCCAGCCTCATGAAAGCCATGCATCATGCAGAGACTGGTTTTGGTGTCAGCGAGGGGGAGAATTTGTCACCAACCCCTGTTTGTCTGACAATAACAGGGCCCGATATTTCATGAAAATTAAGTGCCCAGAGCATGCCCGATGGTTTACAGTCGTGATAAAGGATGGTCCGGCAGATGTGGGGAGACAGGGTACCAGGCATCCTTGGTGGCCGACCTGGGGATTCTGTAGTAACAGATGGCAACTGGGCCACTGTGTGAGGGCTGGGTGGGCCAGGTGGGTCACCTTCAAAGTCAGCAGGCCCTTTGCATGACTGGCCCTTGCTCCAAGATTGGGAATTCTCTGTCTGCCATCTTGGGGCTTTAGAATAAGTGGCACAAAGATCTTGGCTATCCAACAGGCCAGCCCCAGGCTGTAAGCTGCTGGTTCTCACTCCTCCTGCCAGAAATCATACTCCCTTCCCTGTCCCAAGATGATCCAGGAGCTAGGTTGAGTGTCTGGGCAGATGCGAGTCCAGTGACCTCGGAGAGCCAGTGGCAATGAAGGTGACGGAGCGTGGACGGAGTTCCGGGATGAGGGCAGCCCAAGGAGCCTGGGCCGTTCAGGGATGTAAGCAACGCATTTTGGCCGAGGCATATGCTGCTCAAGATTGAGGCATGGGGAGAGGTGGCCACAGCAGGGACAAGGTGGAAGGGCAGGTGGGAGTTTGTTCATTCATTCTTTTATTCATTCATTGATAAACATGTGGTATGTACAGGTTGTAAGGCAGTCATGGCTCTGGGAACCATCTCGCCCTCTCTGATTGGTTCGTTTGTTCGTTCGTTCGTTCGTTCATTCATTCATTCATTCATTCATACAGCCACCCATCTACCCACCCTCCATTCACTGGTCCATTCCTTTTCATTCACAGGTGAAAGGCCCAAAGGCAGCCTGGCCTGGTCCCAGCTCAAGGCCAGTGAGGGTGGCCATCGGATTACCTGTGTCAGTCCCACTGGGGAGGCAGGCCGCAGGCCCTCAGCTTCAGTCTTGACCTTGCTCCTCTTGTGAATGGTGATGGGGTTCCCGGTGCTGCTCACAGCCGACTCGCTGTTCTGCTTGTTCTGAGAGGAGGAGCAGAGGACAGCCTGTCACACAGGTGCAGGACAGGACACCCCGAATTCGGATAGGACTCTACCTCGGACACCTCCCTACACTGAACACGTAGGCCAACCCTGTGTTTGAAGCAGCAGAAGTTGAGTCTCTCAGCCTGGTCCTCCAGCCAGGGGCATACCCGGGAAGAAGGCCAGATCTAGGCCACCATCACTCCCCTTTCCATGAGCTGCCACCTCAGCTTTGCAAGGGGTGGAGGAAGGTGAAAAAGAGACTCCTTTGGAAAATGCTGGAAACCCTTGCTCATGTCCTGTTCAGGTTCAACTTCTCAGATTTCCAGAGCAAGGGACCCAGGGCCTGGCTTCTCAGCGGAAGGGCAAGGGCTGCAGTCTCAGACGACACTTCAGAAGCCCATTGTAACTGTCTGGGGAGGTGCTGGGACCATCTGGAGCTCTGGGACACAGCCATATCTGGGCACTGCCACTTGCCAAGCAGTGGCCTGGGGTGCTTGCTCCTCCTCTAGGATTGTCTTCCCAAGTACCACTCAGGACCCAGGGTCCACGGGGTCTTGTGTGCACACAGGAACTTGTTTATATGCGGAGTGGCCCAGCTTAGGTGACAGGTCCCTATGTGTTGATGAGTTAGCTCAGGCTGAGAGAGGTAAAGTCGTTTGCTGCAAATCAGGAACCAGGCAGGGTCTGACAATTCCAAAGCCTGTGCCGGTCTATTATATAGTCCTGTCCTTCTCAAACCATGTCCCCAGCTGCAAATTAAGACCTCACTGGCACCCAGGGGTGCCAGGTACCTTGCTAGGATGCCCAGGCAAGGCCTAAGGCCTATTGGAGAGTCAAGGTGTTTGAGAACATTCTGGAAACAGATGCTGTAAGATGAACCTGCACGAACATCATTACGGTTGGTTCATCCATTCATTTCACACGCGGTGCGTGGTGTGCCTACGTGGTGCCGGACCCCGTGAATTGGAGGGTTCTCCATCCACTCATTGTGTTTATTGGACCAGAGACAGCAGACCCCAGAGGCTGAAAGGTTGCCATGGACAAAGCCCAGGGCTCCCCCATCATTCAGCCCCTTTTATCCAGAAGACGTCCCACCAGCCACCCCGGGTCCCAGAGTCCTTCCACCAATTTCCAGCATGCGTGGTCACTGAACGGCCCTTGCGGGGCCAGCTGGGTATATGGTGGCCACGTCTGCTCCTTGGGCCCACCTACCTGGTTGGCATCGCTCACACAGTTGCTGCCGCTGCTCAGCTGGGTGGACACAGCACTGATGGAGGTGAGGGCCATGGGTTGCTGAGCCAGGAAGGTGGGCGAGGGCTGGATCAGGGGTGGCGTGTGTCCGAAGGCGGAGCCCAGGCCTCTCTGCTGGCTCAGGATCTGCTGGTAGGCCACGGGGTTGATGGGGTGGGGGAAGGTGAAGGCTGGGCTGCAATGGAGAGGAGGTGAGGATATGGGGGAGAGGCAGGGGCCTCCGTTAGGCTGAGACTTCCTGGACAGAGAAGACCCTGCCCAGGGCATCGAGAAGGGCATGGTACGGGCTGCACCATCCCTAAACCAGCGGCGGCTCCCCTTTCTTTGCCTGTCCCTTGGGCCTTTCGTGCTTAGCTCCTGGGGTGCAGCCTTCACCCCCCTGGCAGGGTGTCCCCCTGCAGATGCCAGGCTCCATTTCACCCCCACATCCTTAGCTGTCATGGCCCTTGTCTGTAAGCCACTCTTCCCAAAGCAGGACACTGAGGAAATGCTGGTGACTCTGGACAACCAGGCCATCAAAGACATGGTGGTGGCTTCCTGTTTGCTCCTTCTAGCACCCCAGGGCCGGGGGGCTGCTGCCCTGTGTGAATCCCTTGTGACAGCGCTGTCCGCGAGATGACAGTCTCCTCTGTTGGCACGCTTGGTCACCTCCTGACTTCTTCTGAAGTCACAAGTGCTGATTCACAGATGAACCTTTGCTCCTCAGGTTCAAAGTGCCCACTGAGAAGCCAGACCCTCCCCTGGGGGACCCCAGCCCAGCTCCCCGTTCTCGGCCCTTGGCTTGCCAGCAGGGCTCACCTGAGGGCACCGGCGGACAGGTGCCCGTAGGAGCCGCTGGCCGCGGAGCTGCTGCGGGAGTTGTTGATGTAGGCCACCAGGGAGTTGGGCGAGGTCCGGATCATGCGCTGCAGGTCGAGGCTGGCATCGGAGAGCGGGGAGATGGACAGCGCCCGCTTGCGGCTCAGCCGGGGGGTCACCCGGGGGCTGGAGAATCGCGACACTGTGGAGCAGCCAACGGGAGTGAGCATCACCGGGATTGGGGGAGGTACGGGAGCGAGGAGGACACACAGGCAGGGGACAGGAAGAGCCCACGAGGTGTCCTCCTGGGAATCTCAGCTCTGCCCTCCTTGCGGCTGTGGGTTCTTGGATGGGCTCATAGTGTCCCCCAGTCTCGGTTTATTTATCTGTCAAATGGAACTGATCAGATCGGGGTGTTGTAGGGAATGGAGAGGTGGTTTCTCCCAAGAAACAGGGCATGGCCAGTGTCTCCAGCCCCCTGCCCCTTCCAGACCTACCCCAAGGGCAGTGTTATGGTCTGTGTGAGCTGTCCCCCCAAAGCTCACGTGTGAGACAGTGCAAGAAGGTTCAGAGGGAAAATGATGGGGGTTGTGAGTCTTAACCCAATCAACGAATTAAACCCCTGAATTAATCCCCTGATTAACTGGGTGGTAACTGCAGGCAGGTGGGGTGTGGCTGGAGGAGGTGGGGACTGGAGCATGGCTTTGGGTATATATTTATATCTGGAAATTAGGGTCTCTCTGCTTCCTGATCACGGTGATGTGTGAGCTGCTTCCCTCTGCCGCCCTCTCCCACCATGGTGTCCTGCCTCACCTCGAGCCCAGAGAAATGGAGCCAGCCTTCTATAGACTAAGACCCTGAAACCACGAGCCCTCAAACTTTTCTTCTCCTCTGTTGTCCTGGTCAGATCTTTTAGTCACAGCAGCAAATAAGCTGGCTAAAATAGTCAGCCACGCCAGAGGGCCAGGTGGTAAAGGCTTAGTTGTCCCCAGTCTGGTGCCACTGGGAGATGGGGCCTAACTAGAGGTCTTTAGGTCACCAGGGTGGGCCCCTGAAGGGGTAGTAAGGCCCAACCTCTTCCTCTTCCTCTCTTTTACTTCTGGGACACGGAGGTGAGTGGTTTTGCCCTGCTGTGTGCTTCCCCCATGATGCGCTACCTCTCTACAGGCCCCAAAGTAACGGGGTCATTGGGTCATGGATGAAGCCTCGAAAACTGTGAGCCAAAATAAACCTTTTGTCTTCATAAGTTGATTATCTCAGGTATTCGTTACAGTGCTATTAAGCTGACTGACACAGTTGCGATTCTGGTTTCCAACTCACAGCTTAGTGTTGCCCGATTTTGAGTTTTATGTGAGCGAATCATAAATTCTCTTTCATGCCTGGATTCTTTCATCCACATTATGAGCTTGTGAACTGTCTCCATGCCATCGTGTGTGGCGGTAACTGGCTCATTCCCGTTGCTGTAGAGCGGCCCAGGGTCAGGAGAGTGAATGGAGGTAGGTGTTCCAAAGTCAGATTATGTTGCAACTGGGATCACACTAAAATTGGCCCCCCAAACACACTCTGGTAGGCCACTTGCTAAACTGGGCCCTGGATGGCTACCCTATGCTCCTAGCATGATGCCTGGGCTCTTGGCTGGCTCTCCAGAACCTGTGGGGACAATAGAAAGGACATGCGCAGGAACAGCAAGCAGGATAGCATGACAACACACGAAGCTCTCCATGCCGGAGTCCCCAAGGCTGCAGGGACGTGCTGCTTTGAATGTGCCCACCACACATGCATGCCCCAGCCGTCCCTCCTGTCTGCTCTGGCCACAGGGCACACTCTGCTCAGCTTCCTGCTGGTGTCCCAGGGCCTCTCGCTCCTGCACTCCTGTGACACAGCCCTCACCCACTGGCCTTGGGGCTATGCTTGCTTGTGCATGTGCCACCTGCTGTCCCTAGAGCTGTGGGGGTAACAGGGGTGATGCCTGTGAACCTCCCCCTCCCCCTCCCCCCGGAAGGTGAGGAGACTGCAAAGAATCCACATCTGCCAATGGAGAGGCTGCACCCCCACCCTGTGGGGCCACCATGCCTCATGGCCACCACCAAGCTAGGCCAGCCTCTGGGGGAGTCCTGGGAATTGCTGGGGAATCCCCTTCTGCTGGGCTGTGGGAGGAAACCTCTCTGGGGCTGTGGAGGGGTGGAGGGGGCCCCACAACCCTTAGACCAGGAGGGGTTTCTGGGATTCTTTTCTAACTACCTCCTTCATGGACATGGGGGATCTGAGGTTGCAGATTGGAGGAGACAGGTACAGGGGACAAAGGGGCTCTGGGCCCGGGAACGCAAACCTTGGTTGGCACAGTGGTGGGTGAGCTGGGGTGGGGCCCCGGGCACCCTGGCTGGTGTCCTCCTGCAGCCCTGGGGTTGTGAATCCAATGGGATGGCAGATACCGGGGGGCCGTGCAGCCCAGATTGGTCCCCCATCCTAACACGTGTGTGAGTCTCTATGTTGTGTACTTTGTTTTCTTTTTTTGATTTTATTTTATTGGTCCTTTTTAGTTATACATGACAGCATAATCCATCTTGGTATCTTTAGACAAGCAGGGCCTATATCGTGCTCTAATTCAGACCCCACGGCCTCTCCTTCCCCTTCCCTCTCCACACCCCTGCTCCCTTCCCTCTACTGATCTTTCTGGAATTTACCAAATTTACTTTTTAGATTAATTTCTTGGGGCCGTACACTGTGGTGGGAGTCGCTGTGGTACGTTCGTATAGGGACACAGGAGAGTCATGTCAGATTCATGCACTGTCTTTCCTTCTCGAAGGTGACGTGGCTTTGGGAAAGCGCCCTTTGGAAGTAAATGCTGAGCTACTCAGAAGACTCTCTCTCTACACCGTCTCTACCTTTGCTCTTGTCAGCTGAAGATTTTTTGGTTTTGGCTATTTTTTTTTCCTATGGGGACAGCTATGGGGATGCTCTGATTAGACTGTGTTCTCAGAAAGCTTATATATCAGAAACTTAACCCCCAAATTCATATGTTGGTGGCATTGGAAGGTGGGACCTTAGGGAGGGAATTAGGGGGAGATGAGGTTCCGACAGTGACCCTAGCTAGCATGCAGGCTCTGTCGGGCCATCTGGGGCCCTTTACCATATTATGATTCAGCAAGAATACCCTCACCAGATGCCAATACCATGTTCTTGAACTTCCCAACCTCCAGAACTGAGTTCAATCAACCTCTATTCTTTATACATTTTCCAGTCTCAAGTATTTTGTTATAGCAACAGAAAATGGCCTAGGATGAGTAAGTGCACAAAAGGTGCTCCATAGATGCTTCTGGGGACGCTGCTTGCTTGGTCCCACAGAAGGGCTAGAGCACAGCAGGTGGAGTAAAGCAGGAAGGATCCCAGGCCACACATCTGACTTAGACACAGGGAGCACAGGGGACCAGGGAGGCAGACACACTCCTCGGCCAGCTCTGAGGCTGGGCCGCAAACATGACCCTTCCATGTTTGAAGGAGGTCGGTCCCCAGACACCAAGCAGACACCCTGGCAAGTCAGCATTCAGAGCCAGCATGCTCCTTGCAAGTGGTGTTTGGGTGAAAGCCTGTTGTCAATTCTTGAGTGACTAATAGCACACGGGCCGCCCCTGTCTAGTGACACTGAAGCGCTTGGTTTCATTTAACAGCCAACACGGCCCTCCAATATCAGCTTTGCAGATAAGGAAAGGAGCCTTGGGAAGGTCGTGACTTGCTCTAGGTCCCTGAGGATTTGAACTGGAGCCCAAAGGAACCCTGCTGTGTGGCTTCCCTGGAGACACTGCCTGTCTTCAGCAGGCTTGGGAGAAGGCCAAGGTCAAGAGGACACTCCTCCCCACAAACTCTCAGCAGCCCCGAACAGTGAACTTGTCAACATCCTGCTGCCTGCTTGTCCTCTGCTGTCTGAACGGCAGGTCTGACGCAGCGGGTCTCCACCCTCAGCCTGCTCGGCCCCTCACGGCCCCTCTTGCAGGGCTGAGCTTGACAGGCACACACAGCCAGGAAACCTGGGCGTTGGCTAGAGGCCTCCTTTCTTCCTGCACAGCTGGACCTGCCGAAGTGACCTCCTGAACCCCTTTTTAAAATCCCCTCTCTCTCGAACTCCACTACCTGCCCGGGTCCAAAGCTTGCTTGAATCATCCCAGAGCCTCTAAGCTATTCAATTCACCTTCCTTACTTTGGCAAAAGAGAGCTTTTCAGCTTACAAAGCAGATATACCCCAACCCTCCCCCTAAAACCTTCCAAAGCTCCCTAGTGCTATTGCAAAGGAGGCCCATTGCCATTATGGAAAAGGTCTACAATGTGGCCCTTGGGGTTTGGTCCTACCCCACCGGCCTCCTCCTCCCCACTCTTTCAGTCACCTGCTCAGGGACTTTGTTCACACAGCTTCTTCTGCCCACCAGTTCTTCCCTGCTGTGTGCTCAGAGCTCTTTCCAGGGGTCACCTCCCCCGATCTCCCCAAGTGGGGCAGCTCCTCCCTGCAGGCAGACCATTCTCTCCAGACAAGGGTCGCACTGGAATCTGCACCGTTTCTGTGGTTGACAGCTTGCTTCTGTCTCTCCCCCTTCATGAATCAGGGACTCAAACTCCCCGCTGCCCCCAACATGGAATCCCTGACACTGGAAATCCAGCTGGGCCACTTGCCACACAGCCATGGCATGTTGAGGGGCAGAGAAATCACAGCCACCCAAACTCAACCCTTCCTGAATGGCTCCGTGGACCAACCTAGGTCCTGCTGAAAGTACTTGAAAATGTTGAGCATGTTAATCCTCACACCTGCCCCTTTAGGAAAGGGCCCTTAATGTCCTCACTTGACAGAAGAAAACCAAAGGTATCGGGAGGCCAAGTAACAAGCCCAAGGCCATACAGCTATGGGGACAGAGACCAGGACTGAGACGCAGGTGCCTGGGTGCCCAAACCACCTTCCTATGCCCAGGGTGGGGACCAGAGGTGTCTTAGGGAAGGGATGACTATGGAGGATGGACAGACAGACACACACTCATATACATGACACAGAAACACAGACAACCTGGGCCTATTGGCCCCCAAGCCTGTCACTTCCTTGGAGCACATCACTGAATCTCCCTGGGCCTCTTTTTCCCCATCTGTACAATGGGGACAGCGTGGCTTATTGTGGCAAAGAGTCGCCTACGACCCTACAGATGTTCCCAGATGAAATGGCTA